TTTATGAATTAAAGTTCCTTTTTATTAATTGTGAGGCCCATTTTCGTAATTTTATAGCTTTTATTAAGCATTTTGCAACGATTGAAAAATCTCTATCCCGTTCAGTAAAAGTTATGTTCACACCAAGTGTGTTAGAGTGCAACGCTAGCAAAGTAACTTAATAATCACGTTTCGTATTTGTTTCTTTAGATATGGAAATTGTCCGTCATTTGTTCAACTATGGCATTTATGTAAGCTTTACGAAGGATTGAATGTTCATGGTAAACGTTTCAAGTTAATATTATTTAAAATTAAATTCCTAGATGTACCAGTATTTCAATGGTATGAACAGCGTGTTTCCAGGCAGTGCTCCTATCAGTGCAATGTACCCTGTGATGAATCCTAACGCGATGTACGCCATGCAGCAGTCGTATCAAAATCGACCAATGATGATGCCACAGAATATGTACCCACAAATGCAGGTAATGGTCATTAATCGGTGGGGGGGGGGGGGCAAACATTTTCTGGACCTAACATATTTCCGACTTGATATTGTTTTCCCACTTGCTTTCTTTCATCTTTCCTGAATTTTTTCTCTAAATTTGCCCAATTTTTATATATAAACTTCAAAATTTGGAATCTTATCCGGGGTTTTTTTACAGGTGGGCTATATAGCCGCATATGCCATTAATCTACATCTACCTTTTAGTTATTACAGTAAGTCGGTAAAAATCGAAAAGATCACACCAACTATATGATACGGTAAATACAAATACTTAAAAAAAAAAAAAAAAAAAACACGAAATAATTTAAAGTAGCCTAACCCTAGGAATGAAATGTTATTGCTTAAGTAATTCCTGACTTCGGTTTTAATAAAAAGATCTACAGTGAATTTTCAGATAAGACGATTTCCCTATAGGAAGACTATTCCACTCTGCTAACGTTCTAGGATAAAAAGAATATTTAAAAATGTCTTTCGTAGCTCGAGGCACTCTATACTTGTGGCTATATCGTTTTCAACCGTTGTTTCTTCCAAACAAAGATATATGCTGAGTTCGTCGACATGCCTCTGCCTAGGGTCTCGACCAGTCACCCTTTAAGCCTGGTTTCCATATGATACCGACAGTCGGCGAGTTCTATTTAATATCGGTGATTACTCATGAGTAAAATCCTTTGTGTATCTAAAAACATTTTCTCCTTCAATGACTACCGACAATGAGTCTGCGACTGGTCGGTGTCATATGGAAACCAGGCTTAACAGGGCTTTCAAAATAAGTCGGCGGCCGCCGAAGCTCTGGCAGGTGCCACGAGGTTCACCGCGGGTTACTTTGTTTAGTGCTTCAATTATCAATTCTGTTCCCCTTCCTCAACTCTATAAGCTTTCAAACAACAAAGTTGTTTTTTCTCGACCTGGCCTGCTCAACTATATCTCTACGTTATAGCCTGGTTACTTTCGAAAAGTTTATTGCCAGTTATTTGCCATCTTAAATCTTGAAGTTACCTTGTTGAAAAATGAAAGTAATGATACATTATAATTTGGTTACAAAACTCAGTTGTGTTGCTATCTAATCCATATACACTTATATCTAGTTAATTTGGATGACCTTCAGACTCCCTAGACCACTCCACGCGGCCAAAACAGCCACTTACTCGAATATTTAAACGTTCGCTGTTTCGACACTTTGATATAGTAAGCTATAATAACTTATATGATTTTGGAATTGATAGATTTTCATCAATAATTCAAACTCGATTGTGTTTAGATTGCTGTGGTTTAAATTATTATTTGTTCAAAATTAATTGTCTATCTTCTACTATGTGTGTTTGTAACATGGAACATGAATCTGTGGTTCACTATCTTTTGAAATGCCGCCGATATGCTGCTTCTAGACTAACCTCACTTTCGTCTGCTGCACAATTTTTTTGTTTCGAATGGCATCCCTTGTCGGATTCCCAAAAAGTTAATATTTTCCTTTTTGGTTCAAGGAGACTAAATATTTCGGAAAACAGGAATATTTTCTATTCTGTCCAACAATATATCAATAAAACTAAAGATTTTTCTTTAACAATAGATTAATTAAAAGTTTGGTGATATCGTCTGACAAGCGTGTCTTTTGTTTTCACCTTTAGTGTCTACAATGTAATATTTTCAAATGTGTAGCGTGGGCCCCTAGATGAGCTATGCGCTCTTGGGCGAACGCTCATTTCAAATAAATATGTTTATACAAAAAATTCTGAAAGCCCTGCTTTAACCAAAACCTCTGTTACACGATACCAGATTCACCTTAAATCTGCAGTATATGAAATGCCTGTCCGTAAAATTTCCCCTTTTGACAGTTTCTTATTTTGACATACAATCGCAATTTCATGTGTTAACAGATTCCTGAAACTGCTAAATTCGATGTTGTGACATGCGAATTTGGTATTGCTTAACTAGCCTAAGCTACCACAGATTTCCATGTACTATGCTTTCATTCCATTTTATGTCCATATATTTCACATTTTAGCAACCAGCTCATGACGAGAGTCAACAACAAAGTCCTGGTGAGGAAACGCGAGAAAACAATGATAGTCCTGCGTATAAGCCAAGTATATCCCTGCACCAGTCTCCTTCGTATCACACAAGTCACGCAATGGCAGCAGCACAGCAGCAAGCTATGTTTAATATGAACTATGGTCAAATGTTTGCTACTGCTGGTCGTCCATTATATTCCAGCTACAATATGTTCCCTCCACAACGCTCAGCATTTCCCAGATACCTGCCTAACAAAATGGGTTTTAATCGACAAACAAGAGGGAAGTACAACAACAGCAGATATACTAGAAATGATAATCAGCCGAACGTAAAATTGCATAATTTGCAAACTGGTTATGGACCATACTCAAAAGAAGCAGAATAATTCGTAGAAACAATATGAAAACTCTCAAACTTTGATCATGCTGATTTTTATTTTCCAACAAAACGTTTAGTTAATAAGTGTGTGTTTCTATATATTGTTTACGCAACTTGGGCGAGAGACTTTTATATGGTGCTAGAAAAAGTTTCCTGGACTAGTTAAACCATGCAGTTGAACGTCCAAAATAATGGAAAAATAAAATGCTGTCAGTGTGAAGTGCGCTTCAGTGGCAGCTGCCTTAATACAATATCTGGAAACTTTAAAACCAGGATCAAACGAGGATGAGAGTGCATGGCAGTCACGTGACCTTGGTTAGTTGTTTTTAATGTTTTTTCCCGATGTATTCTATTTAAGTTAAAATATAGTTGGAACAGTCATAAATTCTGTATTTTGTTATTTTAGAGTTTAAAATGTCCTCGTAACAATGCCATCTCATCAAATCTCATCCTCGTCTGACTGGGACTTGACATTTTGTTTATAAAGTTTTATGTTGACATAAAATCGTATAAAGTTGAACATACGATACAGTTCTCGTAATGCAGTGTCTGAAATACCTATATACGGTCTACGGAGGAATTTGTTATAAAAAAAACAACAAAAATGCGTGTCATTCGTTTGTGAGCTCATCATTAACAGTGAACACGTTGATTTCGGATCAGCCTTACGAAAGAAGTGACCAGTGGAAATATGTGTTGAACAATATGGTATTTGTATAGTCTCAGTGTGACAGTAAACACAGGTATAACTGTTTTCACACACTGTATAATGAGGTCTGGGCCTAAAGACGTAAAAAATATATGTTCAAGCTTTGATGTTTATAAATCGGTTTATTTTTTAAAATTAAAGTAAATTATATCTGTATCACTATATTTGTTGTCCGTTCGATTTGTGTGAATAAAATATTTCTGCAAAATTCAATTGTTTATAAACGAACAAATGCCTACAAATGCCATATCGCATCTGGAAGTGTAAAAGGTGACTCAATATAAATATCCGCAAACACGATTCTACCAATACTAAGTTTGTCAGAATGAGGGTAAGATCTGATGCTCTCACACCTCGAAACATGTCTTCGGTGGCGCAGCCGTCAGAGCAAGTGCCTTTCACCTCTGAGATCCTGGGTTCGACTCTCGCTGCGGATTCATGTGAAAGTCCGCTGACGAGTCCGCTGTCGACGCTCGGCCGAAAGTCGTGGATTTTCTCCGGGACATCCAGTTTCCTCCCACAGGGAAAGTTGTCAGGGTGGGTTAGGATAAACACAGTTAAGAAAGTAATATCACAGTTGTTGTAAAGATAAATAATCTAAGCTTAGTAAGTAATATAAGTAAGCGTAATACTTGATGTGATCGGTCACTGAAAAGCCCTGATGGGGAATGAGCTGAATAATGTGAAAACAGCCAATTCAAAAACTCTAAGCGCGCAAAACTTAATGGGTGGGAGAACAAGTTGCAAGCTTAGTAGTTGAATATTGCAGCTATTCGTGAATGAATTGTTCTCGTAAGGAGATATTTACCATGTCTCTAAGAAATGGGCCCCATATATGATTTCTAAACTGATTAAGTGATGCTCCCGTTATGCTTTGCACGCTTAGAGTTTAAGGATTATAGTAAGGTTTGCAAATGACAACCTTTTTTGAATTAGCTGCCAACAGTGACAGTTGACAACAGTGACATATTTGACTTAATTAGCGACCTTGATACCAATCATGTGACACTTTTGATCTTCGTGAAGTCACACACAAACAGAAGTACTTCAGGAAATAAAAGGTCTCAAAGCTGACTGTTCCACGGGACCAGACCAAATTCCAGTCGAGTTCTTAAAGCCAGTGGCAGAATCCTTGGCGGGTCCACTGACATCATAAATTCTTGCATCAAAGCGTCATATTTGAGGGTCTGAATGGGGTTAACTGACTACTGACATTTGCCTGAATTTTTGACTGACAACTGACAAAATATCCTAACTGACAACTGAGAAATGATGAAAAAATGATGAGTCAGCTTTTTTGCAGTAACTGACTACTGACAGCTTGCAATATATTGCACTGACAACTGACAACTGGCTTAAATTTTAGCTGACAACTGACACCCAAGGACCCCCATTAACACCCTCATATTTCCCTGAGGCATGGAAGATTGCTCGAATATCTCCGATACCGAAGGTTAACCAGCCCAAGACTGAGCAAGACTACCGGCCTATCTCAATCCTTCCTGCTTTATCGAAGGTATTTGATCTTGTATCTCGTCAAGTTAATGCATATATTAAAGACTTGGCATTGTTCAATAGAATATAGTATCGCAGGTTTCAGGAAAGGTCACTCAACTGCGACGACTCTGCTGGGTATCAGAGACGATATCATGCGTGACCTTGATTGTCCTTGCAGATTATTCCAAAGCATTTGACACTGTCAATTTTAAATCTGTCATCCACAAGATGCATTCCATGGGGTTTTCTCAGAACTTTCTTCGTTGGATTCTGTCATATCTCATGGGTCGTCGGCAGTTTGTTCAGATTAATGATACGTCTTCAGGTCAACTGGAAATAAAATTTGGTGTTCCTCAGGATCAATCCTGGGACCTCTCATTTAAGTCATTTTCAACATTTATGTATCGGATCTACAAGGAAAGGTTCAGTGCCGTTGTTACCAATATCCTTCTTCCACACTCCTTCAACCTTCCAAACCACAGGAACTTGACAAGTGTGCGGAGGAAATGAACCAAACTATAGAAAGCTTAAATGAATACTCGGCCAACTCCAACTTGGCACTAGAGTGCAGACCATGTGCGCAGGCTACGTACTGTCGAGGTATATGCCACAGTATAGCGGATCTGAAAGAACTCAGATGATTGCCCATAAAAGAACGCTTAGAATATAGTATTGAAAAATTAGAATTTATAGTGAGCAAACTAGAGATAGAGACATTCCAAGATCAAGCGGCACAGGCTAGGATTTTAATAAACTTCCTGCTGAACTCAGAAACTGCAGTAACTTTGCGCAGTTCTCGAGCAAAGTTAAAATCCACCTATACCATATATATATATATATATATATATATATATATATATATATATATATATATATATATATATATATATATATATATATATATATATATATATATATATATATATATATATATTACTCTGTTTATAGTACTCTGTTTAAAGCGCTAGCGGAATACCCCGAATACTCTGTTTCAAGCGTGGGCGGAAGCAGGAAAGATGGCGGGTGGAAGCAGGAAAGATGGCGGGTGGAAGCAGGAAAGATGCTAGCGCGTGTGCTCACCGCCTGCATGCCCTTGCTACCTTTCCTGCTTCCGCCCGCGCTTGAAACACAGAGACGACTGGGGACGAGTCAGCTTCCGCTTCCCTACTGTTGATGTGTCAATCCTGAACAGCTTTTACGAGATAGCATTGAAGTTTGTTTTAACATGATTAGTTGCTCAACGAAGGTAAAAGTATGTTCGATTATACTGGCTGTGTACATGTAGCACTGCCTCTAAATCAAATTGGGTGATAATAATTTAGTAATATTTTAGATACTCCCTATTAACATGCGATCACTCAATGAACGAATAGCAAGAACATATAATGTAATAGTACACTAAGCACGACAGATCTTAGTAAGCAAGACAGTTCTTTGGAGGGTATAGCTCTGTTGGAGAGGATGCATGCCCGTTTAGCAAGGCTGTAACCACGAACTCAAGTCAATTAGGCTGTCTAGTAGATACTCAAGCTATCGACCAACGACTATCCCGGCTTGGCAAATCCCAAAGATGCCGAGAAATCACCTCTCCACAGACAGAACTATTGTCACACAAAGCGGAATCCGGAATACAAAACACACACACCAATGAAAGAATATACAAGACCAAACAAAAAATAATACTCCCTGACAAGGCTAGAGAACAATACCAGACTGTAGCTGAAAAGAATGAAAAGCTCAGCGAACGCGACTACAAAAAAAAGCAGAGTAGTGTTAAACCAAGTTGAGCAACAATAGGAATAATCATCCAGAATAGCTGGAGGTATGCCCGCGAGCGGGCGCGGCAGGTAAACACAACGAAAAAATATCAAACAGGACAACAATTGGCGTAAACGACAGTGCACTCCCTCGCGAGACGTAACAAAAAAAAAAATTATATATATATATATATATATATATATATATATATATATATATATATATATATATATATATATATACTTTTTTTGCATTGTAATTAGTAGGCGAAGAGCCACCTCGTGGATGTACTACGAATAAAGCCATTATTAGTATTATTACTGTGGTCATACTATAGCATTACAAAATGGACATTTAAATTTGAATTTTACTCTGCCTGACCTATACGAACCCTGGCATGTTTCGAAATACCCGAAAGCCTCTGGACGAAAGAGCGATAATAATTTTCAGGTTGCTTGATTCCTGTTGGTTACATTTTCTTTCGTTTTGTTTTAATGTCTGCGGCATCTTTCAACGTTTTGTTTTGACATCTGCGGGTTTTTGCATGTGAATTGCCGCGCCTGCATGACAATAACAATTTTGGAGGGTTTACAAAACTCACTTGCGTCTCAGAAGACGTTCCACCTGAATTCTAAATAATTTTAATCTCACGATGTCGCTCTGCATGTCGGGCATGATAAATTCAGGATATCATGAAATTATAAAAACCGAATTCAATAACTATTTTATTACACACTGCATTTTCATTAACTCTTTCGGCAATTCCGGCAAACAATAATTTGTTGCACAAAACAAGGTTGGTTCTCAATACAATAACAGCATAAAAATAATCAGAAAACTCATTTACTCACTAAATGTCTATAAAGACTAAGTTCCGATAAAAATGTCAAAAAAGTCTGCACAAAACAATTCACAAAAATGCCCTTCGTTCGTGTTGTTATCCCGTTAAATCCCGTTATTATTCGTGTATTTACGGACAGCCGCCAATCTCGTACCCAGAGCAATGCCTGTGCGCGGGCTAGGATGGCATTGGCTCTGGGGAAATTGAATTTTTCCTGTGCTGTGATTGGTTTAACGTTTATCAATCGTGCATGCCGACAAAGAACCGGAACCCCTAAATTTAGGGGTTCCGGTTGTCAATTTCCCCAGAGCCAATGCCATCCTAGCCCGCGCACAGACATTGCTCTGGGTACGAGATTGGACTGCCGTTTGCTATAAAATTACATACCGTTGGCTCAACCACAAATAACTTATTTGCTAGCATTTAATGCTGGCGGATAATCTGCATGGTGCATGGATTTCTGTATTTAGCTCCCATGGCCATGATCATCATAGGCGTACCGGGCGGGGCAGTCGGGCAATATTCGATCAACAGTCGGGCAATTTTGGTTTGCAATAAAAAAAAATGGGACAAATTTTGTTAATTTTGTGTAAAATTAAGTCAATTTTTTGGCAAATTTTGTGATTTTTCGAAAATTTGTGTTATGTTCCGAAAAATATTTGTTGTCCGGAAAATTTTTTTGACCCCTAAAATGGTACACTGACGGAAATTTTTTTGGCGACGGGGGGGGGGGAGGGGAGGTCGCCAAAATAATTTTTCCGGAAAAAATTTTTTGGTACTAGTCGGGCAGAATCCCGAAAAGTCGGGCAATTTTGTTTCCGCCCCCCTAATTTTTTCCTTCCGGTACGCCCATGATGATCATGAACTTTTTTATGGAGGTAATGAAACCATGCACCTAATATAATTATTATGGCCACTCAACCTCGTTCCCAGCTGGGAACGAGGTTGATGGCCACTTTGAGCAATGCTGTTCCGACAACTTGTCAACAGAATGTGTTCGCACTGCTTGTTCCCAGCTTGTTGACAAGTTAATTGTCAATGGCTTGGTTAACAAGATACAAGGTCGCTGAGCTCAACAGACTAATTGTTACAAGTTGTTACAACAACTTGTTATCGTCCTGCAATTCAACAATTTGTCAACAGGTTGTGAGTGACAACCTTATAGCAACTTGCGAATTACACATATTGTCGACAAGTTGTGAGATTTTTACGTGTGTACAATATACAATAACATGGCCAACTGACATGTTCGTAAAGATGGTGGCTAACAGAAGACATGTGGTAAATAAGGCTAAATATTTCAAAGGAAAACCAAGTCTTCTAATAGATTATAGCCTGAGCACAGACCATTGCACAGATCTACACGTTTTGGTGATTCGGGCAAAGTACATAAGTGTTTACACTCCTGACCATACATAGCCCTGCGCCATCTTTATGCATGAAGAGCTCCCTTTTTGGAAAAGTAGAATCATTACGAGAATCCCCCGGAATTTACATGCACTATCCGTCCTGACTCACCCACAGTCGTTCATTTCCATGGGCCTTTACGACTTGTTGTTTCAACTCGCAAGAGCCTGTCGTGCAGGCTACATCACTGGGGGCTTTGATGGCGAAGTCGTCAGAGCAAGTGCCTTTCACCTCTGAGATCGTTGCTTCGATTCTCGCTACGGACTCATGCGAAAAAAAGAGTCAGTCAACGCTCTGCCGAAAGCCGCGGGTTTTCTCCGGGTTCTCTGGTTTCCTCCCACAGGGTAGGTTAAAAGGGCGGGTTACGATAAACACGGTTACGAAAGTAATATCACAATTGGTGTAAAGATAAATAGTCTACAATCAGTTTCAAATGTCTCGGGACAGATGCCACAAAACCTTTGAATTTCAACAAACGTCGATCCCCCTCGCCCCCTATTCAACGTTGTGTCCCATTTCTCGTCAGATTTGATGTGTTTTGGTTTAAGCAACATTGATTGGGGTGGAGCTAGGGAGGAGGGAGGGGGGGAGCGGTATTGTGTGTAACAAAACTGTAATGATCCACTTACAACCTAAACCCCCCCAATGGGGGGGGGGGGGGGTGAGCTGAATAATGTAACTGTAATGAAATGTAATGTAATTATCTTAACTTTTTCGAAGGGACTGTGAAAGAGTGAGCTCGCCTGTGGAAGTATCCCGTTATTACAACACAGTGCAAAATATTTAAAAGTTTCGTAACCATAGCAATACGAGGCAACCGCATAATGTCACGTTATGTCGGGTATCTCTAGTTTTTTTAATTAAACAAAAAGTTTTATTGTTATTTCACGCTCATAATTAATTATGCGCTCCATGTTAATATGTTATGTAGTTAAAGCATTGGCTACTCATGATCAAATCATTCGTTTTTGCATGTCGGCACAGCGCAAACCTTTTCTAACAAAACAATCGGGCGGCTGTTTTCGCAGGCTACTACCTCGTTTTGCGTGCCGATCAATGCAAATCTACTCCATATATCTTTTGAATTATTTATATAAATATAAACAATGTGTAAATTTGAAATCAGTTATGCATGGTATTGCTTTCAATTTTTAAGGCAACTACTAATTAATCCTCTTTTAAAAAACTACAACTATTGTAACAATTATAGTGAAATTTAAAGTTGATTAATTAATGAAATAAAAGAGACATATAATGTTGCGAAGACATCATGTTGAAAAGACGTGAGTTTGCATTTTTCAAGACCAAAAAATAGGTTACCCATCAGCTTTCACCTGTTGTTTTTTCTATCCCACTATATCGTATAAAGTATTAGTATTTTTTCCGAGCAAGATGTTCATAACTGCATAAAAATAAAGAACATTGTCTGTCCATGAAAGACAGCTGGCTATGGCTACGCCACGTGATCGTTGAACTAAAAGCTTATGTTATGGTTAGTGGGAAAACTGATTTCATTGCAGTAACATGCATGCCCATATAGCTATTGTTCAAGAAACACATCGTGAAACATGATGTGAAATATGCAGAGGTAACATGGATGGACTATCTCCTCCGCAGACACAGGCGTTTTCAAAAGATGTTTATCTCTCACCGCCAGCGCGTTCTCTCCCTAATTTTCTCCATAATCGCGCCCACTCAAATTATGAAACGCCTGCGGAGGCTGAACCAGGGGTCGAGTTGTCGCAACATTTTATGTATCTATCTTTAATTAAATAAAAAGTTTTATTGTTTTTTCATCCTCATAATTAATTATACGCTTCATGTTATGTATGCATAAAGCATTGGTTCACCAAATCATTCGTTTTGCATGTCGGCACAGGGCAAACTTTTTTTAACAAGATTATCGGGCGGCTATTTTCGCAGGCTACTACCTTTTGCGTGCCGATCAATGCAAATCTACTCCATATATCTTTTGAATTATTTATATAAATATAAACAATGTGTGAATTTTAAATCAGTAATTAATGCATGTTATTGCTTTCAATTTTTTAAGGCAACTAATAATCCTCTTTTAAAAAAAACTACAACTATTGTATAACAATTAGTGAAATTTAAAGTGCATGCGGTTATACTTGAAGTTAGCTACCCGGTGCCAGAATTAGCATTGTCTAGTATTTAGATGATGATAATAAAAGATTTTATTTGAATTCAGTTCTTTGAAATCGTTATCGATGGGCCAAAACTAAGACTAACTAATCTCGTTATCAATTTTATACAAAGGAAATATCGAAGCATGTTTTCAGACAATTACTGAATTAGTGTAAAAAATTTCCACAGTAGGCTACTCATTGGGCCCTACAGCTACACGAAGGCAATGCACACGTCTATAAAATCGTTTTATTAAATTTATATTTAGTCTCCTAAAATGCATTTATTGCAGCAGAGAATGTCAATTAGACCTCTGTCCCTGTGTATTTCCATCGTGATAAAAAGAAACAAATTAATAAATATAGCATGATATTAATAATAAATGACAAAAACAAATAACAAACCGAAGTATATATAGTCATAGTATAAATATTGTATACGCGGAATACTGATACATTTTAGACCTCTTCCACTATACTCAACATGTCTCAATTGATGTTCCGAACGATTAGGAGAAGAGGAGAGATATTATGGAAATACATCGATTTCGTGGTTTAAACTTATATTTAAGTTCGGGATACTAAACTGGAATTCAAACTCTTAAAGACTTTACAAGAAGAACGAGAAATACTTTTATATGCAAGTAGAAATTCGAAGGAAGTTTACAACAACGATACGATTTGACGGGAATTAATCAACCATTAATAACAGGTGGAAAAAACGAAATTAGAATGGAGAAAGAAGGAAGAGTTAAAAAAGTTTCTTCCAGTAGAGAAAAGGATTCGTTGCAGGGTTTCCCCCTTGATCTTAATTTATTGCATCTGCAAAATTCAAGAAATCGAGAACAAATAGATTATCCTCGTATGGCATTCAACAATTCATCAGCATTTTCTCCACGAAACAAACCAAACAGCTTAACAAAGAAAAATAAAGCAGCGAAATTGAGATATTCCAAATCATTTGCGGTTCCAACTTTATTGTCGGACGAGCCATTGATGAGCAAAGAGAAAGCGAGACGGAGTGTGAGTGTGCCAGATACATTAGACCTTCCATCGTATGGCTTAGAAAGATTTAGTTTTGAAAGACCTATATACCAAAATAGTAAAACAACATTTTATGATAACACGGAAGAGCAAAATGTTGTTGATGATAATTTACACCTGAGTTTCAAATTACCTGCTATACGCATCAATTCTACACACTGTGGAAAACAAGGATTGCATAACAAAAATAAGACTGCATCAACAGCTGGAATAGACTTTCGTCTTCCATATGTAAAAAATCCAAAGTTCCACGGTTATTAAGGAAGGTCCGTGTCTGTGGAGTTTCAGTTGTAACGTGTAACGTGTAACGTGTAGTGTGTAATAGTCAACGGTCTATGTACAGGCTATTGGCATCCAGGCGTATCGTATTAATGTGAAGAACCGATCCTTAAATATAATATTTTGTTTAAAACATATACAGTTATTGTAACATTGAAAATAAAACTATGATGGAATTATGGAAACTCAGAATAATTCATTTTTATTTTCATTGGTGGTGGCACTCTCGCGATTGTCGAAATGTTGAAAAACGTTTCGGTCCCAATATTTTCTATTGATATTGTCATCAATATAATGACATATTGTATTTTATTGTATTTGCTGAAATATATACTAGCTATATACACATTGAGCATGCATGACGCAGTCTGTTTCTGTGCCGTATACTGCACTGTAGACTCATGCATAAATTGTATTTTCTTCTCAATGTCAACGAGTCTGAATTTCCCTGCATAACAATTAATTGCTACCCAGCTTGCTACAAGCTAGGCTTGCCACAAGTCCGCCTCAGAATTACTTCCCTAGCTACAAGGAAGACATCGTGTTGCGAAAACATGTTGAAAAGTGTGAGATTTTGCATTCTTGAAGACCAAAAAATAGGCTATACCCATCAGCTTTCACCTGTTGTTTTTTCTATCCCACTATATCGTATACAGTATTAGTACTTTTTTCCCGAGCAAGATGATCATAATTGCATAATAATAAAGAACATTGTCTGTCCGTGAAAGACAGGCTGGCGTGCATCGCGTAGCATATGGCCACGCCACGTGATCGTTGAACTAAAAGCTTATGTTGTAATAATAGTGGGAAAACATGCAGTAACATGCATGCCCATATAGCTATTGTTCATGAAATACATCGTGAAACATGATGTGAAATCTGTGTGAAATATGCAGACTGGTAACATGGATGAACGACTACCTCCTCCGCACACACAGGCGTTTTCAAAAAGTGTTTATCTCTCACCGCCAGCGCGTTCTCTCCCTAATTTTTCGTGCCCACTCAAAGTTAATGAAACGCCGAGGCGTCGAGTAACAGCAACATTTTATGTATCTATCTTTTTTCTCTTTTATCTACGGCCTTTAATATTTGTGAGAAAAATTCGTAATGCAAGAAATAAACATCCGTTGCCTAAATTAAGCAACAACATGCTATTTTAGATTGTTTCATACGTGCGTTGTCATAGCTCGGGCTGTTGCCACAGCAACGGATTATATGTTACTAAAACATTCTAATAACTTGCAACATCCAGGCAATTCCAATATCTGCTGCAAACTGATTATTTGAAAACTGTATTTAGACACGTTAGGCGAATCCAACACGTATACTTATGAATTATGATCGAACAAGGCTGCCATGTAATAAAACTTTTGCCCAAAATATTCCATATTATTATTTCAGTCCTTATTAAGTTCTGGTTTCTGATTGGTTAACAGCCAACTGAGAAATGGTCATATCAACTCAATAGCTGACCAAATATGGACTTTTGACATAATATTCAACGGAGTGACGTCATTAATGTTGATATGAAAAAATCATATTCAGCGTCTATTCAAAAATCATATTCAATCCCAATTGACTGTTTTTTAATCAAACCAGCCTAACGGACAAGAGATTCATAAAAAGCTTAATCATTTCATTGGTAACTCTCCTTGCGAATAAAAAAATCTACGCTTTGATGGACGTGTTATTTTTCTTGGAGATAAAGTACCCGCAATAAAATATATAACCTTTTATACATTGACTGAATCTGTCTTGGTTGGTCTGTGTAGAACTTCTCAATGTTTGTACGTTGCATCATCCATTTCTACAACCTAACTCCTGTTTGGTTTTCTCAACATCATTATCGTTGCCAATTTTACCTTTGGAAAGAAGACGAAGCCAGAATGAGGAACAGAACAAAAGCAAATAGTTGCAGTTCAGTTTGAAATAGTTTTATTTTGCTTTTCTCATTCGCGACATTTTACAACATCTCTATAAAACATGTGGCATCGTCGTACAAATACTCTTTTGAAGTTATTTTGGTTAAAATATAGTTTGGCATACCATTTACGAATTGAATAAAGTTGTTTACTATTAAAGGTCCGTGTTTACACTTGCAACTTTTGCTGCGATTTCTATAGTGTGATTTTCTTCTTCTGATGGATGTGAACGAGTGATGAATGCTCTGAGTATACAGTATGTACCACTGCATGATCAGTGATCAGTGATATCATAGTTAGTAGAAAATAAACATGGTTTGGAAGCTTGACAAAAGTCGTTGTTCTATGTTTTTGTCCAAGTTTATGGAAATTTGTGCACCCGGATTCTGTATAATGAGGCGATTACCCAATAAAAAGCTTAGTTTCAATCTCTGAACCCTAATATTTGAATATTAATAAACGAAAGACAAAAGATGTGTGCACTCGGAATTACATTTCAACATCAGTTGAAGTTTGAATAGGAAATTCTTTCAAGTTTACCGGCCTTCCTAACCATGTTTATTTCTATTAACTATGGTGATATGTACCCTCATCTAAACATTCCTAACTCATCCATTCGTTCACATACACAGTGTGGATTATAACAATTTCGCTTCGGTCTGACAAATGTCCGATCATCTGTGCAGTTGCTCGGACATTGGCTAATCATGATCGGCCAGCTTTTCGAAATTTACATTCAAGCTATCAATTGCTATCAATTTGACAGTTCGTACTGATCATTTCTCGCATGATCAATCACATTACTTAATTTTTGGCAAGCAGTCCCAACGATCCATAGCATGTTGTGTTTTGGAATTGTTTGCATGTCTAGTACCATAAATGTGTGATGTGATTTTGTTGCTTGTACAGCAAAGCCAAGAAAATATTTTGTGTTCCTTCTCTCGCTTTTATTAACCGATTTGAAAACTAGCCGCCGCAAGTTTGAATTATTTGATATTTTATGCATAACCAGGCTAATAATAAAGGAATACCGAATGGTTTTCCGTGCAAGATTGCGTGATCCATGCACGAAGGATGTCGCGAGACTTTTGGAAAGCGTAAAAATACTCGAGCCGCAGTCGAGCAACATCCCAAGTGCATGGATCACGCTATTCTGCTTGGAAAACCATTTGGTAATTGTTTTATAAAATAACTACAGTGAAACAATGACATTTTGAGAAACCCGCGAAAATCCCGAGAAGGCATTTTAATTCCTCATGCAAGATAGCCCGATCCTGCACGGCTATTGACCAATCAAATTGTGTGTTTTCACTGTAGTTATTATACAAACAATTTTTCAACAGACTGATATTTAGGGGCTTAATTAAGGCAAAGTGTAAGAGTCTAAGATTGAAAATAATCCATACAAGCGAAACCATAACCCTCTAAAAAGTGCAGAAAGCACCAAAACGAGGCAGAAACTAGCAGGAACTCCAGTATTTTAAGATTTCATTTCTCAAAGACGATAATACATGATATTATATTTATATTTTGTAAAACTGATAGTCTTGAAGTTTTCTATATATAATATGGCGGCAGTGATTATCTTGGTTAAAATTAATTTCGGCAGAAAAAAGAATGACAACTATTTTTCGAATCGGTCTATAATATTTCATTTGGTTGTTTCTTTTACGCCCGTCATCACACGTGGGGAGCTGCATGCATGGTGGAAGATATACAAGCAGTTACGCAAGGCAGAATAATATAATGCACACCGATACAGTATTTCCAAGAGCAATAAATAATATAAAGCTGCCAATAATATTTAAATTTCTATATATTTTATATAAAAAACATTTCCAGTCACGTGGTTGTTGCGGAAACATTACTCGCAGAGAACAAAATTCCAGCGAAAATCCCGGTACTAAGTAAAAATGCGACAAATAAAGCAGTCCTCGTTGTTTTATCGGACTGATGAAGTATATCACTTTTTTCATCTTTATCATCGGAATAATCATTTCGCATTTCATTGTTCATATCTTGTTTTATTTTATCACTGAATTGATTGGCTCGATTTCTGATAGTTTCCCAAGATGATCCCTCAAAGTTGCCTAGAATGCAAGGAATGTCATTTTACAACATGCTCGTTCTATTGAAATTTTATCTTTTTCAGCGTTAAACGCAACCCTACTAAACTCCACTCAACTTCTGTCCAAACCATGTCAGAAATATTTGATCGACTGATAATTAACGTTTCCGAGTAATTCCAAAAAAGAACTTCGTTATTAGAAAAGCGAATATTATATAAGAAATGAATACCGGTTGTAACGTATATAATAGACACGTCCCGAATTTGCTCTACTTATTTACAATAGAAAGCTTCGGACTGAAAAATGATTCAACTACCTGAAAAATACAAGTAAAACTTGGACGTTTCGAGCAAAGGCCCGGGAGTTAGTAACCTAAAGCCAGTTACAGACGAGCAAGTTTTCTATGACAAGTTTTTATGTGACAAGTTTTATTTTATGTCTGTACGCGCAACTTTGACAAGTTTTTCTATGACAAGTGCAATTGTTCAAAAGCTAGCATTTGAACAAGTGCACTTGTCATAGAAAAAATTGTCAAAGTACAAATTTTGTTCGTCTGTATGGGTCAACAAAGAAAACTTGTCAAAGTAATCTGAGCATTTGATGTGATTGGCCAGCTGGCTACTAAAAAATTGTCAGAGTAAACTTGTTGACACATTCACAACAGTAAATAAAACTTGTCATATGAAAACTTGTCATATAAAATTTGTTGCATATACACACGTGCACTTGGCAAATAAAACTTGTCACATAAAAACTTGTCATAGAAAACTTGCTCGTCTGTAACCGGCTTAACTTCCTGACTAAACATCCAGACGAAGTGCCTTCGCTCAAAACGTCGATTTCACGTACTTGAATCCCTCTCAATCCGAAGCTTTCTGGTCTCACTAACTCAGACCGTTCCAGTTCTGATTTACAATAAATTGTCCGCCTCGGTTTCAAGCTATTGTTTCGTTATGCACTCAAGCAAATTTGGGAAGTGTCTATATTACAACTAATTAAAGTTGTTCTTAAATCAAGCCGGTCAGTCCACTATACAGTAATAAAAGCATGGTAGCATTTTAACTTTAACTACCTGTGTACAGACACATGCATTTGCTGAGGTGAAACTGCAGAGTGCAGGCTAGATATCACAATCAATCTCGATCATGAACACGTATACGATGCTACTGTATATATCACAGAAGCGGTTTAAAACAACGGTCCAAAAATACTCCAAATACAGATATTTTGTTAACTGATGTTTTTAATTTTCAAAGTTGTCACTTTCGTCCCTGGCTTTTTTAAAAAGTTTTTTTTCGCGAAGGATCGTTGGTGTTTCGCATACCAGTAATTTTGTTCTGGTCATATGTTATTTTTTCTATTTACCTGATGATCTACGTATATTTTTGACGGAAAGGACTATTACCTTTAGTTTTATCATTTTCACTGACTCCATTCACTGTTCCTTGTAAATCTTCATCCAGTTCTGCTAAGGCAGTGACCAGCGCTCTTTGTTTCTCTGTCAAATATCTACATATAAATACATTTAAAACTATTTCAATTTCCATTTTGCTGATTTAAATATACCCGTAACAACCTCAAACACACCTCAATGTTTTTATCAAAAGATGCTATTAAACGTGCAGGAAACTCTTGGGAAGGTGTTTGTACGTTCGAAATGTCCATTCTCTACCCTTGCATTTAGGCACAAATTTGCAACAAAGAGCACGCATATCAAGACTGCTAACTATCGGATTTTGGCAGTGTTAGAGAAAATACCCTGGGTACGAGGTTGGGATTTTAGTGGAAATGAGGGGGAGGTGGAAAGGTACAGCGGTCTTACCCCACAGAAACATTGTATTGATTATGATATCACTTTTCAATTTTATGGAAACACTTTGTAACAAGTGTATTCTGAAAATTTAGTAACAAACATTAAAGTTAACTGTTAAGATTAAGTCAAATTTTGAGTTTGATCCATCATTTGGGTCTTTTCAAGGGAGTGCAAAAATGTTAGGGGAGGTGCGCACCTCCCCTCAAATTGCTCAAAATGCCCAAAATGCATGAACAGTCTTACGTAAAATGGAAAACTAGTTACACTAAAATAATATGTGTACTTCCAACATTTGCTTGACATATAGGATTATAATATATTTGTGTTACCTGGGAATATGTATTGAAAAGTGTACAATATGATCTCCTCTACCGATGCTGTTCAGTCGAGGAATTCCTTTTCCAGAAAGTCGAACTTTCTGATGTGATTGAGTGCCTGCTGGGATCTAAACAATAATTAGAAGTATAAGTTTAAAACTAGCGAATATTGAATAGAAGATGAAGTGCAATTAGTGCATTCGTTCAACAGATAATAAAATTAAAAAGGTATAATATAAAACTCCAAATATAAGCCATAGCGAATTTGGGGCAAGAAACATTCTTGTGATTTTGGTACCTTTACATCGACATCGCCATGTAATCCTGGTACTCTCACAGAGCCTCCTAAAATTGCCTATAGGAAAACGACATGTCAGGATAGTCGTATTTGTACATGTCTGTATATGAGCACTATACCATTTAACTTAACGACTACTCAACAGCGCTTTTATCATCGCCGATAGAAATGTTATCACATGAATTAGTCGGCTTTGGCATAATAAAGAGGTTCAGATTTGACTTCCACTACCGCTACCATTAAAGGACTATCAACCAATCAAATGCGTTTCATATATCCGATTGGCCAATCAAATGCGGACTAAGCCAGTGAGAGGTATCAAATCTGAACCTCTCTAATAATAGCCTTGTCAAGCCTGTTGGTCTCATTACCCAGGTGATCTCGTGTTCGTATTTTAGCCATAGGGTAATGTCTAAAAGGACGAGAGGTAGTACGAGATGGTTCCAAAATTGAAACAAGGGTTTGCGTTAGTATTATGGTTAGTGTGGGGGTTAGGATTAGGGTTAGGTGTGGGGTGAGGGTAAGGTTTAGTACTGCTGCAAGTGGCTGGTTGTTGATTCTTTACGTTTTAATGACCTTAAAAACTGGCGGCCATCTTGAAAACCTGCCTCTAGTCCATCCCCGTGAAAATAGGTCCCAAGATTTTGTAATAAAGGCATTTGACAATAAATCGTCGATAATTCTATTTACCTGAGTAAAACTAACTGTTGCCGTAGAATGAACGTTCGCTCCATCGCGTTCAAATATTTTGCTGTTATCAACCTAAAATACCAGAAACTTATTCATAATTAAATATCGCGAAAATAGTTCTATACCTTATTCAATAACGAGAATTATATATTATCATGATTCCAAGAGATGTTGGCATTTATTCATTTTATATAACATAGGCATGACAAATGTTTAATAAATTCCTCTTCAAACCAGTATACCTTGAAGGTTATAAATATTTCACCTCCGCCCATTGGCATTCTCACTGTCTGACCATTTTCAATTCCTGCAAGGGAAAAAGTTGCTTAGAACGTATATACTGTTGTAGGGCTCCCGCTGTATCTCAATGACGTAAGGGGGCAAAAGGACAACCGGGGAAAAGGACCAGGGTGATTTCAAGATGGCGGGAAACATGCCGCATGTTTTACTAAATCTTACTAATATTTTGTTAAATTAATAAAATACCAAAAATGCGTACTAGTGGAAAGAACCCCTATTGTATATGCATTACACGACTCAAAGTGCTCCTGCTAATTGGCTGGGCCAAGGCAATTTTTCTCAGGTATTGTTTTGTGTGCCTGGTTTTATGATCTTCAGAAACATATTCCTCTTAAAATGAAGGAAATCCTACGACGACTTAGTTTTTCTACAGGCTTATACACAGTATTGTACCTGCAGGGACAGGGACAGTAATTTTTCTTGTTTCCATCATACTTCCAGCTCCATTACATTTCCTACAAGGATTTTTGATAATATGTCCACTCCCACCACAGCGACGGCATGTTGAGCGCATGTGGAAGAAACCTGTACTAACGGTCTCCTGGCAAAATAAATTCACCACTTTACCAAGCTGTTTACATCATCCCAGTTTGCAAGGACGGGATGGAGATGGGATGATTTTGATGTGTTGAAATAAATCACTAGGTTTAACCGAAAGTTCAAACGCCGGTTCAAATAACTCAAATGTTGAGAAGATCTCGTTCGTACTTCAAGAAGATTCTTGTTCCTGCTTAAACAACCTTTCTTTACAATTGTACTATGATCTATCACTATATAGAAAACAATGTAGTTTTGCTGAATTGACTGTGACTTACTTCAATACATCAAAATCATCCCGCCTCATGTCTCATCCTGGTCAAGCAGGATCATGTGAACAGCCCCTAAAAGATCTCCACATGTTGCTGCTAAAGTAATATTTATTAGGGAGTATCTAAAATATTACTAAATTATTATCACCCAATTTGATTTAGAGGCAGTGCTACATGTACACAGCCAGTATAATCGAACATACTTTTACCTTCGTTGAGCAACTAATCCTGTTAAAACAAACTTCAATGCTATCTCGTAAAAGCTGTTCAGGATTGACACATCAACAGTAGGGAAGCGGACGCTGACTCGTCCCCAGCCGTCTCTGTGTTTCAAGCGCGGGCGGAAGCAGGAAAGGTAGCAAGGGCATGCAGGCGGTGAGCACACGCGCTAGCATCTTTCCTGCTTCCACCCGCCATCTTTCCTGCTTCCACCTGCCATCTTTCCTGCTTCCACCCGCCATCTTTCCTGCTTCCACCCGCCATCTTTCCTGCTTCCACCCGCCATCTTTCCTGCTTCCGCCCACGCTTGAAACAGAGTATTCGGGGTATTCCGCCTGCGCTTTAAACAGAGTAACACAGAGACAACTGGAGACGAGTCAGAAGCGGAAGTAGAGAGCCTGTCTTGCGAGGTTGCAACAGTAGTTATTTACGGTTGTGTGAACAAGGCAAAAAGCAATGATATACAAAAACTATGTCGTGCATCGACGCTTGTCGTGAAGGTTTCTGCAAATGATAAAATAATTAAAATAATCATACCTCTCCGGATCCATTACAAGAAGTACATTTTGAAAATGAACTGCCAGGTTCTGCTCTGGATCCACTACAACGATCACATGCAACTCTGGTTCGGGCAGACATTTCTTTATTTACTCCTTTTACCGCCTCCATGAAAGACAGGTTAAGAGTGTACTGTAATTAAGAAAACATAGAAATCTGCATAGTGCAATCTGACAATGTATTACTCAGTGTTAAGCAGCGCAGATTGTAAAGTTCATGTATTCAATCTATTTTGCTGTTTTAACTCTCTTACACGAAAGAATGGCCCCCAACCTGCCCTTTCGTCCAAAACAACATTAGTTAGACCAATAACGCATAATAGAGCAACCCACGTAGATAAAATCTTTCCCCGGGAAATGTTTGCACGTTCGTTTATCTCAAAATTTCATAAAATAAAACGTCTATTGATCCAGACAAGATTGCTGAAGAAATATTTCCAAGTTTATAAACAAACTGTTGGGAAGTTTGCTTTGAGGTTCAACGTTAACCTGGGATTAGGCAAACCGACTTCTGTTGTTATCAGGTAATAAAACTAACAACAACAGAAGTGTCTGCTATGTTTGTTTGTTGATCTTCATTGTAAGGATCTTGATGCTTATGTCACTATAATGTCAGAGAATTCAGCCTGTCAACAGGCTTTCAGTGTGATAAAGGAATAATGGAACTTCCAGCCAGTGTCGCAGAAGGCTCTACATTTTTGCGGATTACGGAAATACGAATTGCCGTCTATGTTTCGTTAGCTATGGATCGATTTGAAAATCTACTACACAGTCGTATCTTCTATCAAAATAAAATCATTATTGATTGCATTTACTCAAGCTGTTACCTGTGCAGCTTCCTGAAAACCACCAGAGGTAAAATTTGATCCAGCAGATCCAAATGGTCCTGCATTACTTCCGCCAAAGAAAGATTTTAAAATGTCTTCTGCGTTCATACCACCGAACGAATTTCCTCCACCAAAAGGATCACCGCCTAAAAACACATATAGGATAGTTATACATTGACACAAACATGTTGCTTATTTTAAACTAGGGCTACAAAGCCATGGAAAAAGTACACCATCTACTGGTGAGATTGCATGCTCATAGCCGAGCAACCTCACGCTAGCCAAAATCTTTACGTCCCTCTCCATCCCGTCTTGCCTTCGGCCGTGTCGAGGCACTCTGGGATTTGCCAGCACCTACTGTAGCGACCAAGGTGCAATATGAAATGGAAAACTTACCACTAAAATTAGTCCGTCCATAACTATCATATGTTCTTCTCTTGTTGTCGTCACTTAACACCTACATCATAAAATTTGTATCCACATTGAGAGGTCAATGTAAAGATAATGTAAGTCGATACGAAATTCTTTCTAAAAGCCTCTGCGGAGGAGGGGTGTAGATAAAAGGCGGACGGATAAAAAGCGGACCGCGGACGGCGGACCGCGAACGGCGGACTGCGGACGACGGAGCATTTTAGATACACATGATTACTACGGCAACTAATTATAATACCCTAAATTAAAGTATACCAGCCTTAGATCTGTGAAATGGATATGTTTTCACCCGTTCGAATTTTTAGCAATGGAATTTTTTAATCAGCATTCAATACGTATGTATGATAGGAGGAACTAGGTGAAACTTTTGGAAATTTTGGTGCTTCTGTATATAACTGCCCTAACACTGCCATTGAATTAAAATATTATTAGGCGGGGCTATTACATGACATTCACTTGCTGTCATTTTTATACTTTAAATTGTGCGACTTATAATCCCGTTTTATTGGCTATTAGTAAAACACGGAGCACGGAGCACACGGAGCACGGAGCACGGAGTACGGAGCACGGAGCACGGAGCACACGGAGCACGGAGCACACGGAGCACGGAGCACACGAACTACGGAGCAGTAGAAAAACGAAAATCCTTTATAATAAAATACACTGTTTACTATTACAAATTTTTGTTCTTATTAATAAAGTTTTTTCTCGTTTTACACGTTGAGGAAGTAGAAAAATGGGGCTTTTACTGCACATATGATGCAAAACTGCCAAAAGCCATAGTATTTAAAATAGGATTGTGCCTGTGAAACTCGTCACATATCTATCAAGCTTATGAGTTATGTACTGTTATATTATATTCCGATGGCCAACGCATTAAGAAACACTTAGAGAACAGCCGATATATTTCGTTACCCCTGCCAAAAAATAGCCAAGTACTCATCTTTCAATGTAGCGGATCGACTGAACATTATAAAAGCTTGTCATGGAGAGAAGTGAATTTTCGGTTTATCCTTCGTCCCAGTGACCAGTGAGCAGTGTGCTGTACGGCCTACGTTTAAACCGTTATACATAATTACTGCTTTCATTCTTTCAATCCGTTTTGAATATTCGGAATCATTCACTATTATATTATAAAACTGTATAAGATAGCTGTAGAACTATAAATGCTGTAGAATAAAATAAATAAAGAAAACTACGTTTTATCGCGGTATTTGCCGACAAATCGGTAACCGCTACAGAAAAACAGAACAAATTACAGTAAATCACAACAAACCGCGGAAGTGGGACAATTTTTGTATTTTTACTGTAAGACATGCAGAACATGTACGAAATCCATACAGAAGTGTGTGTGTATCAGTTCTATACTTTTGAAACAACTAAATCAGACTTCGGAAAATTTGACAGTATTAAAGCTACTTTTGAGAATTTAGATTTTAGGTCTTTGTTTTACATGTACCCAGTAAATATTTTTGAGTTTTGAACTTTGATTCTCACAAGCTTACAATTTGTTTACAATTTACTCTGCCTCTGGCTCTGCCGTGCTGCACGGCAGAGTTGATCGGAATTGTAACAAATACGCGTACACTTAAATGGCTTCCTGAATTTAGTCAATCAGATGTGTAAAAATTACTCGTTTCAATTTTATGTTTATGCTCGAAACTGCTCATGTTTACAATAGCAATTCTAACAATCTTGCCCTCCTTTTCGCCTTTGAGGCGTTGGTGTTGATTTATACACAAAATTCAAAACTCAAAAATATTTACTGGTCTGGGTACATGTAAAACGAAGACCTAAAATCTAAATTCCCAAAAGCAGCTTTAATACGGTCAAATTTTCCGAAGTCTGATTTAGTTGTTTCAAAAGTATAGAATACACACACACTTCTGTATGGATTTCGTACATGTTCTACATGTCTTACAGTAAAAATACAAAAATTGTCCCACTTCCGCGGTTTGTTGTGATTTTAATACTGTAATTTGTTCTGTTTTTCTGTAGCGATTACCGATTTATCGGCAAATACCGCGATTTGAAAACTTACTTTTCTTTATTTATTTCATTCTACAGCATTTATAGTTCTACAGCCATCTTATACAGTTTTATAATATTGTGAATGATTCCGAATATTCAAAACGAATTGAAAGAATGAAAGCAGTAATGATGTACTGTATATTATAACGGTTTAAACTTAGCCGGCCGTACAGCTCACTGCCACCGGTCATTGAGCCGAAGGATAAACCGAAAATTCACTTTTCTCATCACAAGATTTAATGTTCAGTCGATCCGCTACATTGAAAGATGAGTATACTTGGCTATTTTTTGGCAGGGGTAACGAAATATATCGGCTGTTCTCTACAGTAAGTGTTTCTTTATGTGTTGCCCATCGGAATATAATATAACTACATAAGCTTGATAGATGTAAGATAACGAGTTTCACAATCCCATTTTAAATACTATGGCTTTTGGCAGCCTGGTTTTGCATCATATGTGTTTTTCAGTAAAAGCCCCATTTTCCTACTTCCCCAACGTGTAATACGCGAAAAAAACTTTGTTAATAATAACAAAAATTTGTAATAGTAAACAGTGTATTTTATTATAAAGGATTTTCGTTTTTCTACTGCTCCGTACTTCGTGTGCTCCGTGCTCCGTGTGCTCCGTACTCCGTGTGCTCCGTGCTCCGTGTGCTCCGTGCTCCGTGTGCTCCGTGCTCCGTGTTTTACTAATAGCCCGTTTTATTTACTAAAAGGCTAACACGTAGCCAAGGTCCATTCATGTGAGTGCTTACACATTACTATTTCACTGTATATAAATGTAGAACGAAATTATAACCTTCCCTAAGCCCTTCAAATATACATATAATAGAATATACAATATTTACGCTGCCCAACTTACGTTGCCCAAGTTGACATTACACATATATACATTTTTCAAACAGCTTATTACACTGATTACTGTGTGACATTGACATATATATATATATATATATATATATATATATATATATATATATATATATATATATATATATATATATATATATATATATATATATAATATATATTATAACATATCATATTTACATAAATATGTCAGGAAAATATCAATAACTCAATATTGTTAAAGAAATGACAAAAATATACAATTGTAAATATATACAATTGTGAATGTTTGCATGTCCAAACTTTATAAAAAATTCTCTTGAATCACGACCCATAGCCTATACTCAATACCTACTACCTATATGTGCCCACGAAATAAAAAAAATGTTCAAGAGCCTTGAACGGCAGAAAAATATCGAGCAGCATTGGGAGGTTTAAAAAGTTATTGGGCTCAATGAAAATCCACCTCATCAAATTGTCCGCCCCTAATGCATATTATTATATGGCTTTTCAAAATTCTCTATTCTGATTGGTTGACAAGCGCTCCGTAAAAACCCATATCCGGACCGTGGTCCGTATTTTTTCGTATGTGGACCGGTGTCCCGGATGTCGTTTATCTGGCGGGAAATTTTTGCTTTGCAAACAGAAAAAAATTTTACTTTTCAAAATTTCCAATTGTGCTTTACAGATAAAAATTTCAAATAACCAAATTGTTTTTGATTGAGCATGCATGCCTACGGTATATATTGTTACCCAGTGAAACTGACGATAGCCGATTTAATTCGCGCGAAAAGCATATGCTCACAGATTCAGTTCAGCCATATAATAAACCGATTATTGACCTCGCTTGTTCGGTCTGTACTGTGATCCATACCATACCATACTACATACCATACAAAACTGTACTACATACCATAAAAAACCTCGGTCTGATATTTCACACCTCACGCTCGGTCAATGACCCTGTGATGAACTCTGAACAGTAATAGCTATATTTAGAGACACGCGCAACATTACCATATATGGTATAATGACTTTGTTATTGTGAGAAGGTTAAGAGACAATAGACAAGGTTAAGAGACAATAGACAAGGTTAAGAGACAATAGACAAGGTTAAGAGACAATTGACAGGGTTTGAGACAAGTGAATTCATATATTTCGTATTGTTTTTTGTGTATAATAAATATTTAGAGTGAGGATTTATATACGAGGACAACTTCGGTATATAGTGGTGCCGTGACCAGGATGTAAACAAGGGAAACAAGTGATATTTTACGGGGAATTTCAACAAATTTACAACTATATTTACGACGATAAGCGAGAGTTAAAATGAGCGACACAGAAGCACAAGCGAGCGAGCAACAAATTGAGAATAAAATCAACAAGGAAATAGAAAAGTTAAAGTATTATTTGGAACAAACCGACGAGCTTATCGAAGAGCAAGATCTTAGGGAAATCGAAACAGTAAACAAGCGTACAAAGGCGATTTTGGATCAAATATATAGCCTTGTTTCGACCGCTCAAGAGACGAAAGTTGAGCTGGGAAAAAGTACATCACGGGAAATTCGACAATGGAAGAAAGAGGTAAGAGATAGATATATGCCATGGGTAAATGAAATGAACAAACTGTCTGATTTTCTGGCTAAACGACAAGCAAATATTGCCGCTGAAGAGGAAAATAAGCGACGAGACGCGAAACGTATCGAAGAAGAGCATAACAGGGAAGTAATTCGAGACCAAGAGAGGCAAATGCTCGAAGAAAAATTACAAGCAGAGCTTAGAATGACGGAGAAAAAGCTAGAAATGGAAAAAGCTGCAAGATCAACTCTAACTAAACTTCCTAAATTGAAAATAACACAATTTAATGGAACAACAGCAGACTGGGTAAGGTTTGAGAACATGTTTATTACACAGGTCGATTCTAAGCCAATTAGTGATGAGGAAAAGTTTGGCTATTTACTTGAAATGGTGAGTGGAAAAGTCAGGGATAAGATCTCAAACCTCAAACCGAGCTCGATTGGATATAAAACGGCTTGGGAACGACTCAAAAAGGAATACGGTCAAACAAAGTTGCTTGTGAATGCACATATTGATGAAGTAGTAAATTTACCCACAGTACGAGGGTCCTCCTATGAAAAGATCTTGGCTTTCTACGAACATTTGAGCAAGAACTATGACGCCCTACAGACTCTCGGTGAACATGAGAAATTAGATGGATTTGTGATGTGTACTATTAATAAGTTGCCAAATGTGAAGTCAGACTTGGTAAGGACTGACGAAGATTGGGAAGAATGGAAAATGGAGAACTTAGTTGATAGTCTGCAAAAATGGTTACGAAGAAACAAAACTGAAGAAGATAAATCCACAGCTGACCCAAGAAGAAGAGAGAAAAACTTGTTTGCACGTAATGGAGGTAAAGAGAACGAAAGAGGAAAAAAGACACCTTGTTGTATGTTCTGTAAAGCTGAACACTGGAGTGATATGTGCAAGTCTTATGTAACCACAGCTCAAAGAAAGGCTTACTTCGGTGAGAACAATTTATGCTTCAATTGCGGTAGCCCGGGACATAGGGCTAGACATTGTCGGAGTCGTGGGTGCTATCACTGTGGGGAGAAACATCATACCAGTTTACATGATCAGAAAGAGAACAACGGTGATGGTACAGTACTAACGGGCTACTCAACAGCAACAGACGAGATTACATTACCCCCCATAATTCCAGTTAAGGTGGATGGAGAAGTTTTCTGGGCATTTTTGGACACAGGATCGGGCAGGAATTTTATTTCAAAGGAAGCAGTAAAGAAACTTCAAGTTTCTGCAGCACGACATGAATCGAAAGAAACCATTACCATTAATGGAACAAAGAGACAGTCGATGCCTATTTACAATGTAACAATCGAATCATTAGATGGATCAACCAAGGAAGATATAGAGCTAGCCGGGTCGACAATGAAAGATTTCACAACAGTGAAAAGACCGGACATGAACAAACTTAAATGGAATTATGAACACACAAAGGATAAGAGGTTTTACATGAAAAGAGATGGTGAATATCCAATACACATGATCTTAGGTGACAACACCTTCTGCAAGATTAAGACAGAGGAAATCTACAAAGGAAAAGATGGCGATCCTATCGTTGAAGGTACTTCGTTTGGTTGGATTGTTCATGGTGGAGATATTTCGAACAATGTGTGTATGTTTACAAGAGAACCAAATGACTACGAGCAATTGTATACACTGGATGTAGTTGGAATTGAAGGTAGAGGGGAGAACGACCAACTGGACGTTTATCATCAATTTAAAGAAAATATTACTCGGGCTGATGACGGTAGATATCAAGTCAAAGTGCCATCGATTCCTGCAGGACAGTCTTTTGCCAAATAGCAATCTAGAACCAAGTGGAAAGCGATTAGCTAACGTATGCAAAAAGATCGAGCGAGATGAGAAGGTAAACAACAATTATGATGAAACAATCGAGAAGCAATTAGAATCGGGTATCATTGAAGGTGCACCAGTGAAACCGAATGGTGAACGAGTATATCATATACCCCACTGTTTCGCTAATTTAAAAATAGATAAATAACTACGTCATTGAACAGACAAAGTCACGTGACAGAAAAATAGCGGGAAATAAACACGTTGGTTTTAAGCTGTTTACTCGAGGTTTAACGTTCAGAAATAGGTTTATATTTGGTGTATTGTAAAGTGATATAGGCCAAAGAAGTAAGTTCATGTTGTTTATCATAACTAATTTACTTTATTCAGTAGATAATTCTTGTATTTATACTTTTAGATCGAATATTATTATTATTACTACTACTACTACAACTATTATACGATATTTGGAAATTATTTGTGGTCACTTTACAAACCGGTAATTCTGATTCTGGCGAGCCATAAATTCGATTTCTAGCTGACCAGGGCTTAAAGGATATTCAGAAAATGACGGAGGTAACGAAGGAAGCGTTAAACGAAGCGAAAAAGAAGCGGAGATGTGCAAAATCGAGTGTTACAAGGGCAGGAAATGGCTTGGATTATTTATTGAAAAATGAGAGACCTATACCGGAAGTTGAGGAGTCACTCGCTAATTTGGAAGATTTATACAAGAAATTGGTTGAAAAACACGACGAATATATTCAGTTGGTGGATGGCGATGAAGAATTTGCAACTGAGGAAGAATGGATTGAAGATTGTCAACAGAGGTTTATGCAGATAAGGATCAGAACAAAGGATTATTTAAAGGTCAAGTCACAAGGTCAGTTTGAAAATGAAACAAACCCAGAAACAGGTTTAGTGCCCAATCAAACCGAGACAACTGTTAGTGACAATGGGCAGCAAGAGCATGACGGTATCCCTGGGTCTGGTCAAGGCCCATCCCACCAAGGTCAACCCCCAACCCACGAAGGTCAACCCCCATCCCACCAAGGTCAACCCCCAACCCACCAAGGTCAACCCCTATCCCACCAAGGTCAACCCCCATCTCACCAAGGTCAAACCCCATTCCACCAAGGTCAACCCCCAACCCACCAAGGTCAAGAAGACAATAGTCCAAGTTCAAGTGAGGGTGCCCAAAGTATTTCAAATATTCAACCTGTTTGTGGTTTCAAAATGGAGAAGCCAAAAATGCCTCGATTTAGTGGTGATGTCAGAGAGTACAGTATTTTTCGAGATGATTTTAAGCATGCTATTGAATCTAGATACAGTAAAAGGGATGCAATGACGTACCTTCGTGCATGCTTGCAGGGAAAACCCCTAGAGCTTATCAAAGGAATTGGTACAGATTATGATGGTGCATGGCAATATTTAGACTCAATCTATGGAGACCCCAGATATGTGTCGGACCAAGTAACCCAAGATCTGTCAAAGTTCCGACCCCTGAAAGAAGGAGAAGATTCACGCTTTTGTGATCTGGTGCATTTAGTAAAGCGTAGTTTCAATACGATGAAGGGAGTGGGGAAACCCCATGATATGGATAACAATCACATGTTGTCACTAATAGAACAGAAAATGTGTGTGGAAGATAGAAAGATTTGGGCTCGTGAGTTGGAAAGGAATGAAAAGCCAGCAAGCTTACAAGGTCTCATTGCTTGGATGGAGACGGAAATGAAGTCGAGGATGCGTGCAACTGCTCCACTGAGAAATCAGAGTCAGGGTTCGAGATATGTCAATCAGCTATCTGGAGGAAAACCACCAAAGTGTTGGATCTGCGACAATTCAACGCACTGGGTAGACCAATGTGAAAAATTTAAGTCCATGAGTCCAGAGGACCGTTTGAAAACAGTAAGAGAAAACCACGCTTGTTTCAGTTGTCTTAAGAAGGCCGGACGTGATCACAGAGCATCGAACTGTAGCAGAAGGAAGCAGTGTACACAGAAAATAAGTGGCGTTCAATGTAAATATTATCATCATATTCTTTTGCATCCTTCAAATCCTGCAGCGTCAGTGGGCGTAGCATCGGTAGAAGACAACACGGAAGCAATGCTGCCAGTTATAACAGTGAAGATATCTGGAAAGAACAATCGACACAAACAAGGGAACATTCTACTCGACTCTGGAGCACAAATAAGTCTGATTTGCACAAGTACAGCAAAAAATTTGGATTTAAAGGGAAAGGATGTTTCGATAACTATTAGAAAAGTGGGCGGTGAAGAAGAAGTGTTGGCGACAAAAGTATATCAAGTTCCCATTACGTCATTGGAGTCTGGTGCGAAGTTCACAGTCAAAGCTGTTGGAATTCCACATATTAGCGATGACATTTCAAATATCAATATTGGTGAAATGGTAAAAGGAATTGGAATCCCTGAAGTGAAAATTTACCGAGAATGTGGCCCAATCGATATGCTTATTGGGATTGATCACGCTTATATGCATACTGGAGACACAAAGAAAGTTGGTAACGTTGTTGCGAGACATTCACCTCTTGGTTGGATTATTTTTGGATCGATACCAGGCTTGCAGCAAACCAGTAGAATATTTCATGTCCAGTATACAAGACCTGTAGATCTTACTGACTTTTGGACGAGCGAAGCAATGGGAGTTAGTCAATCAAATATTGAAATGCCAAAGTTCAGCAAGATCGAGCAAGAAGAAACCAAACTAATCGAGCAAGGATGCAAGCTAATTGGAAATAGATGGGAAATGGCGTACCCTTGGGAAACTGACCCCAAAACCCTTCCCGACAACCGAGAACAAGCTGTGAAGAAGATGGAAGCAACTGAAAAACGATTGAAAGGGAATCTACAGCATGCAAAAGCATATCAAGAACCAATGGAGCAGATGGAAGATCTCGGGTTTTCACGAAAGCTAACAGAAAAGGAAATAAATGATTACAATGGTCCCGTTCACTATATAGCTCACCATGAAGTTGTTCGACCTGATAAGAAGAGCACGCCAGTAAGAATCGTATTTAATTCTTCAGCACGATACAAGGGACACCGTCTTAATGATTGTTGGATAAAGGGTCCTGACCTTTTGAACAGCATGTTGGGAGTTATCCTCAGATTCAGAGAGCAACCGGTCGCTGTAAGCGGAGATATATCAAAGATATATCACAGAATTGGAATACCTGAAGAAGACCAGCATGTACATCGGTTTTTGTGGCGAGATTTGGATACAACTAGACCACCAGACACTTACGTAAAAACTGTGTTAACCTTTGGTGACAAACCAGCACCGGCAATGGCACAAATTGCATTGAGAAAGACGGCAGACCAAGCAGAAAACGCTCATCCATATGCAGCCGAAGTGTTGAAAAAGAATACGTACATGGATGATATTTGTGATTCCGTACCCAATGTCGAATGTGCCCAGCAACTGACGAAAGATCTCGACGAAATCTTAGATAAAGGAGGCTTTAAAGTGAAAGAGTGGTTATCGAACGAAATTCTAGAAGAAAATCTACCGTCTGAAGAAAGATCAAGTGTTAAGTTTTTGAAAGGTGAATCGGAAGAAAAGGTTCTAGGTGTTGTCTGGAACAATAGTGAGGACGCTTTCACGTTTAAATGTAAAGCTAATGAGCTATCTGTACCGTCACAAGAAAATTCAAGCGAGTTGAAATTAACGAAGAGAAAGATCCTTAGTAAAGTGGCTCGTGTATTTGATCCAATTGGATTCGCAGCGGCGTTCCTGATCCGTGCAAAAATCGGTTTACAACGACTCTGGCAACAAGGATTAGATTGGGACGAAGAACTTTCATCGGAGGTTTCAAAGTGGTGGACTGAGTTTTTTGCAGAAATCGAGGACTTGAATAATGTTTCGTTCCCAAGAAGTTTAACACCACCGAACACTATTGGACTACCGACACTTTGTATTTTTGCGGACGCGTCTCGAGATGCATTTGGAGCATGTTCTTATTTACGCTGGGAAAAGTCAAGTGGTAATTATGAAAGTCGATTTATATCTGCTAAGTCGAGAGTTGCCCCTCTTAAAGAATTGACAATACCTCGTTTGGAGCTACAGGCAGCAGTTCTAGCTAGTCGATTGTACAAGACCATAATAGAAGAATGTCGTTTACAGTTCGAGAGAGTTATTTTCTTTACGGACAGTATGATAGTCCTTACATGGATCCGTAGTCAGTCAAGAGAATTCAAACCATTTGTGTCGAGCAGGGTTGCGGAAATTCAAACGAATTGTGATCCATCGACATGGAGACACATACCAAGTGAGCACAATGTAGCCGATGATTTATCAAGAGGCATTCCAGCGAAAGATCTAGAACACCGTTGGAAGAATGGCTCAAAGTTCCTGAATCAACCCAAAGAAGAATGGCCTGAACAACCAGCTATGCTAATCGATCCCGCGGAACTCGACAAAGAACGTCGAAATACCCAAGCGGCCTTTTCCTTAAGTACCGTACCGACAGTAATTGACCCAACGAAATTTTCGAAGTGGAAGAGATTGGTGAGAGTGACGGCGTGGATCTTACGATACATACGAAATCTACGATTAAAAACGAAACCAGAAGATAATGTCGACCCGTTAACAGCTGTTGAGTTAGAACAGGCCGAAGAGTTATGGATCAAGACAGCACAAAAAGAGTTACACGAACGTGTTAAGAACAAAGAGTTCAATATGCTTAGTCCATTCACAGATGACAAAGGAATCATAAGAGTCGGCGGACGAGTGGATAAAGCTATCGTAACGTATGATTCGAAGCATCCAGTACTTCTTCCCAAGAACCACCACATTTCATACCTGATTACCAAAGATGTACATCAGATTACTCACACTGGGATAGCGTCGACAGCGGCGAAAACAAGAAGAAAATTTTGGATTATCGGAGTGCAAAAATTGGCAAAGTTAATCAAGGAAAAGTGTATTTACTGCAAGAAGTCGCATCCGAAGATTGAATCGCAAGTTATGGCTGAACTGCCGAAGATAAGATTGATGCCTCAAACACCTCCATTTTACCATACAGCTTGTGACTATTTCGGTCCGTATAAAGTCAAAATTGGAAGAAATAAAACCACTAAACACTATGGTGTTTTGTTTACTTGTCTGAATACTCGGGCAGTTCATTTGGAACTTGCAACAGACTGTTCAACAATGGAATTCATCCAAGTACTCCGAAGATTCTTCGCGATTAGAGGTTACCCTTCATTAATGTTGAGCGATAATGGAACACAACTGGTCGGCGCAGAGAGCGAACTAGCAAAGATGATCCAAGGTTGGGATGTGAAGAAACTCAAGGAGTATGCAGCAGATAAAAGAATGGAGTGGAAATTCATTACTCCTAATGCCCCACATCAAAACGGATGTGCCGAATCGTTGGTGAAAAGTTGTAAATTAGCCCTTAAACAAGCCATGGGAGATAACCTTCTCACACCATTTGAATTGCACACCGTACTGCTTGAAGTAGCAAATCTGGTAAACCAACGACCAATTGGTAGACCAACCAACGACCCCGATGATGGTACATACCTATGTCCGAATGACCTTTTATTAGGAAGAGCTTCCTCGCATGTTCCACAAGGACCATTCCTGAAGACAAAGAACCCGCGTCATAGAGTTGAATTTCTACAACAGATTCTTGACTCGTTTTGGAAACGATGGACCAGAGACGTCTTTCCCTGTTCAATTCACGAAAGAAATGGGATGTTCAACGACGCGATGTCAAAGTCAACGATATTGTCATGTTAGTTGATTCGAATGCGGTACGAGGCAATTGGACGATCGGAAGAATTATTGAAGTTCATCCAGGTAAAGATGGAAAAGTTCGAAATGTAACAGTAAAAACACAAAATGGTAATTACCGAAGACCTATTACTAAAATCTCAGTTATACACCCCGTGGACGGAGAATAAAATGAGAACAATGTCCTCATTGGGGTGGAGGATGTTTCGCTAAGTTAAAATTAGATAAATAATTACGTCATTGAACAGATAAAGTCACGTGACAGAAAAGAGCGGGAAATAAACACGTTGGTTTTAAGCTGTTTACTTGAGGTTTAACGTTCAGAAATAGGTTTATATTTGGTGTATTGTAAAGTGATATAGGCCAAAGAAGTAAGTTCATGTTGTTTATCATAACTAATTTACTTTATTCAGTAGATAATTCTTGTATTTATACTTTTAGATCGAATATTATTATTATTACTACTACTACTACAACTATTATACGATATTTGGAAATTATTTGTGGTCACTTTACAAACCGGTAATTCTGATTCTGGCGAGCCACCCACAAACATGTTGTCAGAGAGGAGGCAAATAAAGCCAAAGATAGCGCGGAGATTCCCGAGAATTTTAGAAATTTTGGGTTGGTCGGTGACAGTTCGGAAAATCCATGGTTTTTGAACGATGGAAAAGAAAGAGAGGACATGAATGAGGAAACTGAGGAACATGAAAATACACCAGAACGGTTGAGAAAACTGAAGGCAGTAACTGCGGAAGAAACAAAGGAAGGACAAGGTGATGAAGACGAAAATGCTTCCGATAATTCTGACCATGATGAAACATTTGAATTGATGGATGGTGAGGGGAGCAAAGAGAAAAGAAAGAAATTGAAAGGAGATAAGGTTGACAATATCATCAGGGAAGAACGCATAAAAAAGAAAAGGAAAATCAAAGAAAAGAAGAAAAAAGTTCTTTCGAAAGGACATACTGAGGAAGTAAATGATGTTGAGAGGAAAAGAGAAGAAAACGAAGTAGAGAACTTTGAGGAAAATGGCATAAAAACGAAAGGGAAAGTGAAAAGTAATGTTGTTTTACAGGGAAACACTAAAGAAACTAGTAGTGTTGAAAAGACAAGTGAACGTAAGAAAAAGAAAAGAAAAATTACAGACGAAAGTAGAATGAAAGAAAAGTTGAAGAAAAGCAAGAAAGCAAAGTTGGTGAAGAGTGGGACTGACGAGGACAATATGCAAACCGGAGATTTGGACGAAAAGAACCGAGGACGGTGGATGAAAGGCAAAGTTGTGAAGTACGTGAAAGGAAAGGACGGTGTAATTAGAGGAGTTATTGTATTACATAAAGGTAACTATTTGGACCGACCTGTTCAGCTAATATGTCCTTTGGAGATAAGGAGCGTGGTTAAGGAAGATCAAGGAAGACACAACGAAAGTACTGAAGATAATGATGATAAATTAAAGGAAAGACCAGAACGGAAAGCAGCAAAGATCGCGAAAGTTAACATCAGAGAACAATTGAAGGATGATTAAAGGGAAGTAAGTATAACTGTGTAGAATGTTGTTGTTAAAAATTTATAATTCGTTTAAATTTGTTAGGGGAGTGTGTGATGAACTCTGAACAGTAATAGCTATATTTAGAGACACGCGCAACATTACCATATATGGTATACATACAAAACTTTATTTAGACCACGCTAGCCTCAACAGCCGTTGGAAGGCAATAGACAAGGTTAAGAGACAATTGACAGGGTTTTAGACGAGTGAATTCATATATTTCGTATTGCTTTTTGTGTATAATAAATATTTAGAGTGAGGATTTATGTACGAGGACAACTTCGGTATAACGTTTAGATTGATTCCGTACTCCACCTTTTCCAATCTCGTGCCCAGAGGCATTGAATCGACTGGCATTTTTTCCTCCGGCAGTTTCTCCATAAAATCAGGCAATTCTATCGAAATATTGTGATCCGGGAAGTCTGCTCAAAAATCTGGCACTTCTAGTTAAACATTGGGCGAATAATGAACTGGATGCGCTGCCTGCGGGTATTAAAATCGTCGAAAAAAGAAGAAATTTGTAACGTTGTGAAAATGTCTTAATGATGTGGAGCAAATTATCCGCAGCCAGCGAGTGCCCCGCCCCCCTCCCGTCGACAGAATTTGTGGGAATTTCATGACGCAAAATGTTCGTATTTGTCAGGCAATTTCCGTCAAAGGCAGGAAAATAAATTTTGTCTACACCCCAAATTTTTTCGTCCCGTACGCCTATGCGAAATTTTGCCCTTTCTGCCATGCCCCGCGCCACTAGCTCTGCTTCCGCGTACTGCGCGAATTTTGACCGATAAACTCACAATTATTGTATTTTACTATCGTCATTGGCTGGAATTGTGTTTTGATACAATATTTAAATAGTGATTAGGTTTTCGCCGGAGTGGCAATAAACAATACAGATATAGCCGTTCTCAAAATTAAAATGTCCATAATACATGTCATATTCTTGTTGGTAGAAGTTGGCAACCATGGTAAATTATAAAACAATATTTTAATGGTCGCCTGTGGAGATTCCGTTGAACTTAGCCTTCAGCCTTCTGCATATAGCCTATATAAGCGTAAAAAAATTTGGAAGTATAGGAGAAACAGAATAGCATGTTAAAATCTTACCAGTTTAAAGCTTTCAACTGTCTTGGTGGCCTAATAGCCTTAATTCAACCTGATTCGTTCTTTCGTTGTTGTTGCACCAACAAAAATACATTAATTCATAAAGAGTAAGTCCAGAGTACAACATAACATGAAAAACACAGTACAATTCGGTGAAATTTAGCGAAATTGCCGGAAATATTACTTGCCCACTCATCCCGCAACCTCCATTTTGAAACTGAACTATATAGGTCACTGAAGCATACTTTCAAAATCACCCATAATATCCATAAAATACACCGATATATGTACCTGTGAAAATGTTCATTTTGTGACATCCTAAAGACAGACAATTAGCATTTTAAAGCTCCCTCCCTCGGGCTACGCCAGACGGAGCAAAAAGTTAAGATATTAATATCACAATTGCTGTAAAGATAAAATAGTCTAGGCTATTAGTATGTACTATGTAATTAGATAAGTGTATAATACTTGATGTAAAGTGTATTTGATGATTTTGATCATATCCACCTGTAGAAAGTCATGTAAATTGTCGCTATAGCCGAAATCTTAATCTTTCTTTCTTTCACTGATCAATTTCTCGTTTCTCCTACTCTTTTTTTCACTGTTCAATCTCTCGTTTCTACGTACTTGAGATAATATGTATTATTAATTTCAGGCTACACAAAGAACCTTTAAAACATTTGCTTTATTTTGCCATGTGACAATTAACCATCTCCCAAAGGTATTCGCTCGTCTATACATTAAGGCCTAATTCCACGACGAGCGAAATGCGAAAAATTTCGCGCGAAAAGGTTGAACGCATGCGCAACATGATTTGGGAATGTTCCTCAGCGAAATATTTCTCTTCGCCGGGTAGTTGAATTCGTTTCTACTCCCTTGCGAAATGGAAATAGCGAAACCAATCAAATGCTTCTCTTTTGGATGACAAAATAGCGAAACCAATCAAATGCTTATGTTTTGGCGAATTTTTTCTCCAAGTGTGGAAATCGCTACGAGAGAAAATTTTCGCACAAGTGTGTTTTCGCTCGAAATTTTTCGCATTTCGCTTGTCGTGGAATTAGGCCTTTAAGGCGGTTTTCCACGATAGGCGAAATTTTTCGACCGAATCGAAATTTTCTTTTGTCTTACAAGCACTCAGATGGAGCTAATCAGAAATCTGTTGAATTTGAACAATAGAAATTTCGGTTCGATCGAAAAATTTCGCCTAGTGGAAAACCGCCTTTACACGTTGCACCGTAGCGCAAAGTGTGCTGTTTATTAACGGTTTTAACGATCTTTGGTTGTGGTAACATTTTACGTTGGACATTATCGTTAAAAACTCGACATGAATGAAGTCACCTTTACTCAGTCGACTGATATTATGACGTCAGGTGAATTGTGGCACGAGTAATCGGTAATTTCCGATTGTTGCACGATCGGTCAATCACTAGACATACTAGCATACTAGCTTTTGACAGTGTTACTTATCATGGAAAAAAATTCCAAAGTACAAATTTTGCTCGTTTGTATCAACCAATTGGATGCGGTTGCATGAACAGCGATATATTATAACTGTAGTATCTAGTGTGGCGGCCAGATCTTGGAAAATTTGCTATATACGTGTACACTGATAATTTAATTGACAAGCAAAACTTGCCACAGAAAGCTTGTTCGTCTGTAACTGGCTTGACTGTTTATGTTTTATTTTAATATTTTACAATTATTTCCACCGGGTTATATTTTCATCCGCGTTTGTACTGTATGTCTGTTTGTCTGTCTGTCTGTCTGTCTGTCTGTCTGTCTGTCTGTCTGTCTGTCTGTCTGTCTGTCTGTCTGTCTGTCTGTCTGTCTGTCTGTCTGTCTGTCTGTCTGTCTGTCTGTCTGTCTGTCTGTCTGTCTGTCTGTCTGTCTGTCAGCACGTATCGCTTGTCTGTCTGCCACGTATCAATAGGAAAATTTGTGGGAATAATGGACAATGTCCAAGGACAAATTGAGTAAATTTTGGTTAAATTTGGATGAAAATTGGATGAGAAATTAGCAAAGTTTATCTTGCTTTGGCGGCAGAGTAAACTGAATGCGTAATTAGCCCGTCGTATAATTTATGCACAATACATAACTTAACTGCTGGCGGAGGTAGTGCCCTCTAGTTTGTAGTGCAAGGGAATGCTCTGTCCTCATGACTCATGACTGGAATTGCTAAAATAGACGTGATTGATGATGATCATCGCAAAATAATTATATTCATGCAAGAACATGCACAAAAGCTCTCCACACGCAATTTTGCCGTCTTTTGTACTGTTCCGACCATGCATGCATTCAAATAATTTCATTAGTCTTTTGAATGCGATATCATCACAAACACATAGTCGCCATTACCCAAATTGCCACGTCATTATACAAACACATTTTTTTAAACACAACATATAAAATATGGAAAGATGATAGATACTGTTAAGGATTATTTAACCCCGAAAAGATTCAGTAATGTTGCGTATGTATGTGTAATTGTTCATTTCCTTTGTGGGTTGGTATTTACTGCTGTTACTGCAGCTTTGAGAGCAAGTGCGATCGGGAAATTCTCTTGTATTGTTGATCCTAAAAGTACGGCCACATACAAGACCCAGGTCGATAAGGTGTGTTTTTCGAGATACGATCAGGCTTATACCACTCCTCTACCTCTGTATGGCTATGTGTTGCTGAGTATTAGATCCACAGTTCCTGTCAGTGTCATTTATTCTCTTGTGGTTAGCAAGCGAGTCGATGAAATAGAGTCAAGTCATGAACGACAAATTAAAGGCGACGCTGAGCACCACGAGCATGGAGGAAACAGGAGAACTGTGTATGTTTTTCATTTCTATTTTGTCCAACTCGTTCTGCGTTCGTTATGTGGAATCATTTTTACTGTTTTGCAATATACGTTTTTCTATCCCAATGGTTTTGATTTGAAATTCAGCTGTAATTTACTCCCAGCGGAAGTAACCTCTGTCAGCAACATAAATGCACAAAGGAATGCGAGTCAGTTGAATAATACATCAGTTTCATGTGAGAATCCAACAGCCTCAGAAAAAAAGTTATTTGGTACAATTGTGTTTGTAATAAACACTATTTTCACCTTTGTTATACTTGTGGAAGTGATTTTTCTTTCCCAACGTTTTCCAATCCTCAATTGTCGCTCTGAACATAGCTGGAACGGTGATATTGAATTTGTTAATTCTTATTTTCTTGGAAAGCGATATATTAATGTGCCTGATGAAGTTACACTAACTAGCGTCGATAAGAACCAACAGGGATGTATAGATATTTACAAACAACAAATTTTGAACCTTTCTCGCGTGCACCAGATATAAATTATATCCCAAAAACTACTTTAGATGGTTTGCATGTTGATGTTATTATCCACACAGGACGAGCTCGACATACGTTTTCCGAAAATATGCAGAGACACGAAATCTACGATGTCTATATGGCAGTTCCTTCAACCTCTCTATGTTTAGAGAAAATAAAAGATTTATTTTATCCCAACGAAGATACCAAGAGCATTGTTCCTCGCAGAATTCTGGTGATTGGACGTCCCGGAATTGGAAAAACAGTCTTGACCCAAAAAATTATTCGTGATTGGGCTAATGGAATTGATCAATACTATTGTGACAAGATTGCCTTCGTTTTCAAATTCAGATGGTTTAACATGGACGAATTAACAAGTTTATCTCTTAAGACATTTCTTCGGATTGGAACGGGAAACCTCAGCGAAGAAAGTTTTGAAAGTATTTATGAAGAAATAACAAGAGAGCCACAAAAAGCCATTTTTATTTTTGATGGCTTGGATGAATTTAATGGAAACCCCAATAGTTGTTTGGACCAATCCCAAATAATTCGAAACGATCCCAATACTTGCATGTCTGGAATTAATTTATTTACCAAGATTATTTTTGGATCCTGTTTGCAAGGAGCAACGGTTCTGGTAACGAGCAGACCCACCACAGATAATTTTTACTCCAAGCTAGATTTTGATCGAAATGTGGAAATTCTTGGTTTCACCTCGAAGAAAATTGAAGAGTATGTCAGCCGATTTTGTGACAATAATAACAGAAGTGACTTTATACCGAATATATGGAACCACATAAATTCATCACCAGAATTGTTAAACTTATGTTACATTCCAGCTAACTGCTTTATTGTATGCGTAACCCTATCTGGATGTTTTAGTGACCCAGGAAATGACACCGGTGCTCTTCCAACAACACTAACAGAACTTTACCAGACAGCTGTTGATCATTTTGAAAAGCATCATCACAGAAATGCGCACGGAAACTCTATACCGGAAGAAACATTAAAGAAACTTCAACTAATATCATTCCGTGGTATGGAAAATGGACAATTGATTTTCAATCAAGAGTTATTTGATGCACAAATGAAAAAGTCTGGTTTAGTGAATATTTTATCCAATCCTTTTTTTCCAGTTCAAGCACAATTTTGCTTTATTCACTTAACCATACAAGAATATCTTGCTGCAAGACACGTGACTGAAACTCTAGCTCCAGTCGATATTAAAAAATTTATTTTCGATCATGTTAGAAGAAGTAAATGGCATCTAGTTCTTCAGTTCATGGCAGAACTTTTGGGCAAGAAAATGAAGATGTTTGATAGGGAATACATGGACTGCGTCTTGGTGTTTGTTGAAGGTTTCGAAGAAATGGATAATGCAATTAGACTTAATTACAATCATGTGTTTGTAATGAAGTGTTTAAAGGAAGTGGACGATGAAAACATTGCGAAAGACATGTGCAAAACGACTGCAATAAAAGATGTTGTAAAACTATATACTGATTTAGATGATAATATTTCTCCAAGTGATTGGGCGGCAGTGACTTTTGTTTGCAAGCACATGGACAATTTAGCAAGTTTTAACTTAAGAAGTATGGGTTCAGATTGTCTTCAAGAAATCCTTAAATTACTGCAAAAAAAGTGCATACATCAACTTTGGTTGAGGATGTTAGACAGAAGTCGCGACGTTGATGTGGAACATGTATTTAGTGCATTGATGAATATGGAATGTACAGTGAGCCACACACACACCAACCTTACGTGGTTAACACTTAATAATTTTTGCATGAGTGATAAAGTTTTGTCAAAAATTCGCTTATTTCTTAAAAACGGGCATGGAAGTCATCTTGAGATATTAAATCTATCTGCTAATAAATTAGGTCCAAGTGGAATTTACAAACTCTGTGAAGTCCTTAACAATAACCATTTTACGGAACTTGCATATCTGGATCTTAGTGGTAATCCAGTAGGTGACGAGGGTGCAAGCGTGTTATGTAATACTTTAATTAAAGGACCTCGTAAGCTTACTAAGTTGAAACTCTTCGGGTGTTCCTTAACAGGTCGATGCATACCCTCGTTTGTTAAGACACTGCAAGATGAACATTGTAAGCTGACTTATTTGTCACTGGGGGGAAATGGCATAGGTGATGATGGTGTACGTTCGTTGTGTGAGAATGCTCTAAACAAAGAGCATTGTAAGCTCACTGAGTTGCACCTTGGTAGCTGTTCGTTAACAGACCGATGCATATCAAATTTGTGTCAGGCGCTTCAAGATGAACGTTGTAAACTGAATGTTTTGTCCCTAAGCCACAATAACATCGGTAATGAAGGCGTATGTGTGTTGTTTGAGGATGCTCTAATGAAAGAGCATTGTAAACTTACCAAGTTATATCTTGATAAGTGCTTACTTACAGATCAATGCATACCCACTCTGTGTAAGGCACTGCAAGATGAACGTTGTAAACTGACCAATTGGATTGTGGAGAACAATAACATCGGCGATGAAGGTGTATGTGCGTTGTTTGAAGATGTTCTAACAAACGAACATTGTAAGCTAACTGAGTTGAATCTTAATGAATGTTTGTTAACAGATAAATGCATACCCATATTGTGTAAGACACTTCAAGATGAACGTTGTGGGTTAACAAGAGTATGTCTGAATTTGAACAGGTTTACTGAAAACGGAAAAAAAATATTAGTTGATCTGCAGAAGTATAGTGAATGTAAAGCTATAATACAGATGTAATAATTTACGTTTATAATACAGGTTTAATAATTTACGTTAAATATTAGGCACAATATAAATACAATACTACGATTTATTTGTAAAATAAACGCGATGAAAACTTTTTCACACATTTGTGGATAATCTTCACATCTACTGAAGACACCGAGCTCCATATTTATATGGAGTAAGAACTTCAGTTATCCAGCCAACACGAAAAATTAAGCCAGCTAGTGGACGTCAGTTTCAGTGTGGACGTCAGTTTCAGTCCTCTGCACGGTTTTGATATAACGTTAATCAACGTTTAATCGCGCAGTTACGCGAGGAGACTAAGACTGACGTCCAAAACTTCGATTTCCACCACCTTTGACTTCAATTTTGGCACGTTTCCGTTCTTACTCCAGATTTTTATCGAGCTCACTGGGTTCATACTAGCAGCTCGTCGGCGAGTTTAAGATCTACTACGTGGCAGGCGTTTTTTTGCTTGTAAACGCTAGGGTCACCAGTAACAATCAGTGTCACCTCTTTCGCTGTGCGTCACATCCGGTGAATATGAAATGAGATATTCACCACGCAAAACACGCGTTTAAACGCGCGTTCTAACGTGCGAACACGACGCAAACAACATGAAGTCACGAAGTAGAGTTAGGCTATACCGGCCGAGACCACTCCTTGCACCGATACTCACCCAAGTATTGAATTCTTCATTAAAACAGCAGTATGTCCCCTTGCTTTGGAAACTTGCAAATATTTCGCCGATACCGAAAAAAAACACCACTGTCTGATTGTAACCAATTAAGACCGATATCACTTACTAACATTATAATGAGACTCTTTGAAAACTTGTTTTTAAACTAGAGTTATCGTAACAATACGACAACTGCCCTAATATACAACAACTGCCCTAATTATAAAGTGTCAATACCATTGGCTTAAATGGTTAGAAGACGAAGATGTTGACTCTGTTCGAAATCAAAGTCGTTTCGATCTTTTGTTAGTAAGCTTGTTCATCGTTTTCCACATTTCCTTGGGATTGTTTTCATCGTTTATTCAAAGTATTTGCGAACTTCTAACCTTTTTGGGGTAATCTGGAGTGCGCGAAAATCAGCGACTGACAAAAAATATTATTTTCTATTTTTCCCATACACATGATATTTCGACTAAGTGTAGTGTCCAAAAATATTTGATCGTGCAAATATGTCGATTATCTTATTTAAAGTTATTGGTATTATTATGGTATTTATATTTCCTTGAATTTTTTTATTCTTTTCGGGGAATAGAAATTTTCCTTTGAATATAAATTAGTCCATATTAGTCTATATGGTAACTAATGCCCAGGTGGATGACACCAGATCCTTAATTAGTTTTGGTTTATTTGTGAACGCTAAATTTATTAATGTTTTAGTTGTCGGTGTAATTCATGTTTTTGGCTCATTAATCATTTGGCTCATTAATCATCGTATTTTCAGCGTATTTTCTTGTCTGAGCATTAACTTTACAATTTGTCCGATGGGTGCCGAAATTTCAAGCCACTTGGGCAGCAAGGTATATATGTAAGAATCGTGACCGATTCTATGCAACAACCGTGTTAAGTCTTGATCTCGGACCAGGTGAATCCTCGACCTGATAGGTCATAGGTCAAACTGCGAGTAAAATCCAAAGCATTCTTCCTTTCCCCCTTTTTCAGCCCCATGACCCACAAATCTTAGACACGGTCAAGTTACAAAGCCCTTAGGGCTTCAAAGGCACTATTCTAACCGGTATCCTTTTTGAAACATTGTCGTTTCATTCCTTCGTATTGCACAGCCCACCGTTTCTCTAGAGTGGTTGGCTCATCTTTACACAGTGTCCTATTTGACAAGGCTGCATCAGACAATGGAGTGAAAATACCGGTTAGAATTACTTCACATCAGAGACCATCACGTCAGAGACTATTATGCTAATTAATCATTAATAATTCTTCTAGTGTGAACAACAACTTGCAAAATAGAAATCTATTTCGTGCTCCTTTGTCCAACCTCGCCTCGCCAAATGCATTTGTACCCTCGCTGTCACTCACGCCCAAAACCACCAATGACACGGCCTTAGCCCATTTAACAAAAAAGTCAGATTACAGTCTCACTACCCTTCGAGGTCTCAAACTGGTTTATCTAAATATCCGCTCTCTAAAAAACAACGTCCATTTTTTAGAACTACGTAAGTTACCAAATTTAACCAAATTGACGTCTTTACAGTATCAGATACATGGTTAAATACCTCAAATAGAAATCGACCGACTGCACAAGAAAGGGGGCGGGGTATGTATATACGAAAATGTATTAAAGAACTCCATAGAACTTAACCATAAAACTCAACCTTAACCAGTTAATTAAATCACCAACAAGAATTACTGAATCCAGTTAGACCCTCGTCAACGTTATTTCCGTATCCTCGCCAAGACTAGTAGTCAGCAGCGGCGTCATAGAAACCTGTATTAGCGATCATTTCCATGTGTATGTATCACTAAAACATACCTGACAAAGCTCCACCAACCTATTGTATATCACTATCCGCAGCAACAATAAATACGGCCCTGATTTGTTCCTGGCCAATCTAACCTTGATCGTTTTGTTTCCATTTTTAGTACAATTCAGAAAATGTTCTTTCGAAAACAGCTGCGCGAAAAGGCCCAGATCGATGTTGTGAACTTATCTTGGGGAAAGTTTATTTGCCCCCTTTGATGACATCTCAACCGCCCGCAATAACGAAAGGAATTCCCCTCCCCCCTCGAACATTCTTTATCGCACTGGTTGGGAACATGACAACCCCCCCCCCCCTTAATTAACACGCCAGTAAATTCATCGTTTACAGAGTAATTGGGGACAAAAATTTAGGGAGAATGAAAAAGATAAGGAAGGTTTTGTAGATGACTGGAAGATAGTGAACTTGATGCGTGTTACTGGAGCTATATGAGGATGTATATTACTTGCCTGGCAACCTGGTAAAGATTACTCCGATGGTAAGTTTGTTTTAGTATCTATTTATTTAACTCAGGCCGGTTGTTCGGCCTAGGTCTAGGCTGGTACTCAACTATGTGACTGTTATTAGATTATTAATTATTAATTTTTATTATACCCCTCCACTACGTTACGAAGAATCGCCAAAAAACTTTCTTTCACGTTCAAAATTGTAAACGAAATTCAAGATTAAATATTACGGCGTAACTGCGTTGCTCTTCAAATATTTGCTATTTCGGTGCCGAACTGTTCGAACTCGACGTCTTGGTTTATTGCAAGACAGCTGATAACCAGGGAAACTACAGGAATTCGCTATTCAATCCTGAAAAAACTGCACGCAATTTTCTTTTACGTGCACTTAAACATGAAAGATTCGAAACCTTATGCGATCACGAGTCACGGATTAAGAAAATTGTCGATCACGTTTCACGGCTAAATAAAATGATCCTATCACGATCATGATCAATAAAAAAAAAATGATCCTATCCTAAATGATCCTATCCTATCATGATCCTATCCTATCTTCTATTTGCTTCACCTGAATAATATACGAGGGCCCTCTTAAGCGGAGGCCTCTTTTAAGCGGACACATTTGTGATACCTGGTCCCAATGTTAATAAACATTACAATTTAAACAGACACCTCCTTTATAAGCGGACACATTTGTGAGATCCCAAAGGTTTCCGTTTAATATAGGGTTTCAACTGTATAACTGAAACTGTGGCTATCTTTAGTAAGACAGGCTATCTTTAGAAAGTTTGGTAAGATGAAACGTGCTTGGCGCTTGGGCCAACTGTCCTTCGCGTAGGCTATATAATTAAAACATTTTTTAAAATTGATTGACATACTTTACTTTATGTCTCGACCTACTTTCAAGTTGTTCAGTTTTAAAACTGCAAACTAATAACTGCTGAAACAGGCGTTTTTAAAATGAGAACTATAGATATGTACTTTGCACAAGTTTAAAATATGTCATCTTTATATATACTGCGGGCGTAGTACAGGCATCGAGGCACTTCTCAATTTGGCCCTTCAGTAACATACTACATAATGTATTATGCTAATCTATATCATAGGTTCTCAGGCCAGGCTTATATTTAATATTTAATAATAATATTTAAAATTTATATAGCGCAAAATACATATGTATATGATCTAATGCGCTTATTACTTGCAGAATTAAAAATAACATGGCGGATTAAAATCACGAGCTCGTGTCTTGTTTTTAATTCTGCAAGTTGCACGCATGCGCAAATTTTCCTATTCAGGCGCGCTTGTCGTTTGCTCGCCGCACACGAGAATTTTTTTTGTCACGAATGACGAAAAATATCAAACATGTTTGATATTTGGTTTACATGTCACGAATGACGAAAATGCCGTAAATGTTGCCTGCACACGAGGAAATTTTGTCGATCCAACTTGTCACGAATAATAAGTACGCGCGACAAGTGCGCTCGTGTGCGGAGGGGCTTTAGATATGTCATTATTTATACTAAACTCTAAAGTCGGCATTTTAATTAACATATGTCGTACCTAAACACGACCGCGATATTTTTGTGTTCAGTTCTTCAGAAGAAGTCGTTAATCATGGCGTTCATCTATTTTATTAATCTCGCATTCATATTTGTTGTAAATGTATTGTTCTTTTTCTCAGGAATATGTTTAAATTCCGTGGTTATACTCAGTTTCTGGAGGTCTGCACAACTTCGAAAAAAATTATGTTATTTCATGATAATGGTTTAATTTGTCATGTTGCGATTTGCTTGCGGTTTTAACTAGTAATCCATTGATGGCTCTTGTCGCGATGTTGTTTTTGACTGGAAAGTTGGATGTATACCCTACCTGGATATACCGCATATTCGCAAGGTTATCAGATAGTTTCCTTGCTTTTTCTATACTCGCTCTTTCGGTCATGAATTTTGATAGATATTCGGCGACATCCTATCCTATCTTTCATCGAACGTCGGTAACGAAGGAAAGACTTTTAACTCTTCTTGCAGTACTGATTATTTCTGAACTTACTTTGGCGCTGATATCCTTAAACGACTTCGTTATTTCCATCCAAGT